GTCASACACAAAGGAATCAAGACGAGGYKCCGTGCATMAAGCTCATTCATTCATAAAAAGACAAAAGTTTTTCACAATTGACTGAGCTTTACGCACAGCGCCTCGTCTTGGTTCTTTKGTGTTTAACTACTGAGGCGAAATCCGCAAATCGGCTATCACTTGAAAAAATCGCGCGCTTTGATGTAAATCATTTCCATTAAATTAACAGAATTTTGGACACTTACATCATATTTACATCAAATTTACAACCTTTAAAGCGTGCGATTTTTTCCAGTGTATTTCAATAATCCTTATTACAGAAATATGCACMGCCCTGCACAGAGTGGCGAACACCCCGCAAACAGTTGAATGACCCCTGTCTAACGTTACAATGACCTTGAAGTGATAAATACTTAGGATTAATTGTCCTCGGCTCGAAAAAAAAACGAGTTTTCACTCGAAAACCCCTACAAGATGGCATTGGGAACTCTAAAATGGAGTATTCAGATACTTTGTTGTGAAACATCGAAGATACAACATCAGTGCACTGTGGTCTAGCTTTGRTACAAACAACACCATATTTGGCTATAAGAACATAAGACGTTTGTACCGAATATAGACCACAATGCAATGCAATATGTCTTTTCAGCAAAATGGTGGGAACTAGCGGTAAACTAGTGTGAGCTGCGTCGGTGTTTCTAAAGAAACAGTTGTGTAAAGAAGATAAGTTTAACACCGTAAAAAAGTATGGGAAATAACTTACTGACGTTTCGGATGTTAATCCTTCGTCGGAGTAAAGACGAAGGATTAACATCCGAAACGTCAGTAAGTTATTTCCCATACTTTTTTACGGTCTTTTCAGCAAAGCCCTATGCATGCATAAGTAGTTTCGGAGAACAATGCGTCCGCCATCTTGAAAAGTGAGACCCAAATCACTATGTTGTGCCTTAGAACACATTCTTAGAACATATAATCTATCATTATATCGTATTATATTAACTTGACATTAGCTGAGAACCTTTTAATTCCTTTAGGAGTTTTAATTTAGTGATTCGAGTCCCACTTTTCAAGATGGCGGACGTATTGTTCTGTTCATTGTTAAAGTACTGACGCATGAATAGTATACACAACTTTATATCACTTATACCTTCAGGGATATTTTCCGACAAACTCCTCATAACAAGACGACGTCTCAATTCACTTTTGGAGTAGTTTCTTGTTGGTCTTCTAGGCTTGAAAGGCAAACTAGTTCTTCTGAAAGGCTTGTATTTGAGGGTTTCTGTGGCTAAGAAAATTTGGGCTTCCTTTGGCTGCAGAAACCAAACCAACTCTCGGTCTTTGTCATCAGTGAAGTGAAGAAACTCGTCATCGACTGTTGAGATTTCCTGAAAGTCATGCAATATAGAAAGATGAGAGAGCTTTTAAGCTTAAAAGCATGACGTTGGCGGCAAACTGCAAACGGCAGAAAAGATCATGTGACCTGCTTTTTTGGGTTTACCGTTACAGTTTCAACGCGAGAGAGGGTTATTTTAAGTTTGCCATAATCGTGAAAAGTCGCTCTTTCAAATGACTACCTAAAGCACAAGGTCAGGCACGAAATTTTAAGGTCACTGGTTCAGCTCTGCCGTTAGCCATTTGCCGCAAACGTGATACACTAGCTAGTATTCAACGTTTTCTGAAATAGCTTAATTCTCAACTCCCTCATTGTAAGCACTTACGTCGTTGACTTTTTTTGCTTCTTCAAAAACCTTGAGCGCCTCATGAGCGATATCCTAAGTAGAATGAAATTTAAACTATGAGCRAGAACAACCTCGTTCCCAGGTACTTTTTTTTCTCTATCCGCCATTTTGAAAATAGAGAGAGCAGACAAGGCCCTTGTAACGAGGTTGGAGCGAGGCCGGGGCGTCATTCATTAATAACGAATAAGTGTCTTTTAATAACGTCAATTTTGATAAGAAATTTAATCCTCCATAGTTTTTATAAGACGTCGGYCACCCAWCTACATGCAACTCYACTTCACGRGACTCCTGTATCAAATCAATTGTTTCTCATCTCGACACAAGTTCCTCTCTGTGATTATCACCACAGGAAGACCAAAAAGACAAATAGACAAAAATGTGCGTTTCCGCTGGAGTAGCCTGAGAAACGAGACTAAATCAATACCATGATGCACTTCGCCAAAACAAAYATGACGTCATGAGGAAGAGAAMATTAGCTGATTCAATAATAAAACAAATACTACCTCTAGAGTGCACATAGGCAGTTCGTTAGGAGGCTTAGCTTCGTGCTTCAGATGTATGCCATCATCATCGTACTTGATATTTTTAAGACTGAATGGAGACTTGTCGGAGTAGTTACGATGCCTCCAGCTCCCAGTTTGGGGATCAAAACAGTACTAAAAACAATATAGTAGATTTTTATATTTAACTCAATCTGTTGGACACTTTATAACACTGAACGGAAATTTGTAAGTTTGTGATTTTGAGATTTAAACAAATGTCCAATAGACAAAACAAACAAACAAACAAACAAAAATACTGCATAATGATCAAAAATCAATATTTTATATTTCAAACGTAATATACTGTAGAAGATGGTGCTACTTTTTGCATCAAAACTCGAAGTTGCCCGTAGTTCTACATCAACCCAACTTGTCTCACAGCAAAGTGACGTCGCGCCACAAGCAGCTGACTGCATTGGCCACTCAGAAATAAGGATTTGCTCAACCTGCATCAAATTATTTTGATGCGAGACAATTTGGTTCGCCAGAAGTAAAACGCGCAAACATCGCTTTCCAACTTGCTTTGCAGCAATATTGCGAGACAAGTTGGACGATTTTGCTGCTCGTTGTCTGTTCTTTCTGTGATCAATATTTTTTTCGGAACTAGTACAAATACTTTAATGTTAGCACGGAATAAAAAAAAATTCCCCACGGATGAAAACGTAAGACATGTCGAGAAGACTTAAAAAAAGTGCATCAAAACAACGACATTAACTGCCATACTCGGCACAGGAATGATAAATATAAAATCGAATAATAATCCTGGGAATATTCCAGTAGGAGTTATTGTACTCTGAGTAAAATTAATTCAGCATGACTGAAGAAAGTAGAATCTCTTTGGATGGTATATATTTTGGTAGCCTACTACACCCTAATAGTTACTATTAAACACTGACTAGTAGTAAYTGTTTCACAGACGGATGAAAATGACTCTATTGCACAACSTACTGCCCTCTAGACTCCAGGTGCGAGAACACTGCCGTGGATCACCATAGCCCCCCACTCCTCCCTCCCTCAGAACAATACCTTGGATCCGCCCCTCACGACCCACCTTATCATAATATACTAAAATATATATAACAGTTTGTTTGTGTCGTATTTTGTGTTAGTTTACTGATGTACGGATAACGATCAGTGTAAACTTCAAAATGATGAACGATTCAAACTTATCACTCGCCAACGTCTCTAACATCAGTACGGTTAACACCTACTGCAAGTACGATGAACCTGACACCGATGCTGAGAAAATTGCTAAACGCACAGTCTTCGTACTGCTCATTGTACTGGGGATTTCTCTCAACATCTTCGTCATCRTACTCGCTGCTAAATTCMCAGTACGCAAGAACCTGCATCATTTGATCATCAACATGGCCGTCTCAGATGCTCTATTTCTCTTCATCTGGTTTTTGTTTATTGTTCCATGGYTRTCTGACAATAAATGGAGAATATWTYCGAGGAGTACATTGGGTATTATACTCTGTAAAACTGCAGCGTTTATATTGAACGTCTCATTCAGAGTATCTTTAWTTGCCCTACTAGTAATCAGCRTTGAACGATTCAGAGCAACACTTTGCACTTCGCAAAGATGGAGACCGTATACATTGAAGCAACTTGCTGCCGTAATTGYACTCTGCTGGCTGATACCCGCTGSGATWTCTAGTTACACCAAAAACAATACGGAAGCTAAATTTTGCTACACTAAGCGACCTGACACTTCTTATAATTATTCAATCATTAACCTTTTGAGTATGATTCCATTGTCCACAATAATCATTCTTAGTATTCTAACTACAAGACGRCTATCCAAACCCCAAGCCATCCAAGCCACTTTAAGCGAAGAACAGCAGRACATACGAAAACGAAGAGCTAAAGCAGCCGTAAGAATGGTKCTCGYATCTGCATTACTATATCCTTGTTGCTGGCTTCCCTTCTATGTTATTGAAACTTTGTTACCAGTCATCTCGTCTATTTGCATTGACTTAAAGTCTCTGATATTTGTCATCTACCTATTTCTTCCCCTTGTCAACTCCTGCTTCAGTCCTTGCCTTTACATATTATTGCTGCGCGACTTTAGGCAAGCCGCAAAGAAAGTGTTGTGTCGAAGAAATGACGTAGGGCCGGCACCCAACAGTCTAAATACCATCGAATTGCCAACTATACCAAACTAAGGACTTTACTGGGGAAGACGAAATATTTCAGAATGAAGATCAAGAAATCTAGAGCTGTTTTCATGAAATAACGTAAGAAAAACACCCGTTGAAATTGAACTACGATTAATCAACCGCTACCCAAAACACAAGCAGGTAGCAGTTATAGGATTTAAGAGAACGGGAAAGTTTCAAAGTCGAAATTTAGTACAAAAGAAGTACGCCACATAAGAGTCGCTCCTAATGCAAATGAGATCAAAACAACGACTTTCGCGGTAAACAATATAGAAACTTGAATTTGGTACGGCAAAAAAAATTAGTTCGGCGTTTGACCCAAGCCTTATTTATTGTTAAAATCTTTGTTACATAAGCTTTACAAAGATGCATGGTTTATTTGACTTTATTGTTATGCACAAAAATAACATTGCGTGAAAGGCAATGTCGCAAAAGTTGTCAACACTCAGGAGCAATAACACCTGCAAACTCCTCATGAAAAAACAGACACTCATTAAAGTTGTTTTGATACTCAATAGAATAGATAACGGTTTAAATAGAAAAATAAGACCAGTTAAAATTTTCCAACGTGAGATGCTGGAGCTAACAGTGTGGGATCCAGGAATTCTCAAAAGGGGGACTGTCTACAGTGGCGGCAAATTTTCACGGGAAATTGGCTTCCTTCATTAACTTATTAATCTTCAATAATAAGGGAATAATAAGGGAATCCCTCCTCCCCTMCCCGGGCGGAAAATACCACTTCATCAGTGATGCCAAGAAAGCGAAGATCGTCTCGCTTACCTGAGGCAACAGCTTCCAACCGTGTGTAGCCACCATATCCACAGCCTCTAGTATAAAATGAACGATAAAGTCATCCATGAAGTAAGGCAGATTGATACGAGCAAAACCTGGTCTGAAATTGAAAATGAAATTGACGTTTATAGATGAAGCACAAACTCTTTGATAAAGAAGAGCTATTTAGAAAAAGACAAAAAGAGTCAACACACTTGTACCGTGAAATATAATCAAAGAAGTAATAAATACTAGAAAGATGTYGGGAAGGGATAGAGCTTGTGTTGTAGGCTTCATGACAATTCGAGTTCATTGAAAGGGCATAAAAACTACTGTATAAAAATAATAAAAAATTATAAAATAATATATTAATTATAATTAATAAAAATTACTGTATGTATGTACATATGAAATAAAGTTGTAAAGTAGTCAAATCTCTTGTTAATTATTCTGGTTCAGTGCTATTAGTCAGTAAATAGACACTAAGAGTTACTGTTTATTTTGATTATATTTCACGGTACAATTGCGTTGAATCTATAAACCCAAAGTCAAATTCTCCCTTACTTCATGATTTCGTATGGYTCTTTGTAAGCACCTTCCTTGTCCCTGTAAATACAGAGGAAAATGAAAAAAAAAATAAATAAGAGGAAAATAGTATTTGCGCATTCAAAGCAAGAGCCGTTTTCCTATGTAAAAGACAAATTTCAAATTACTYACTCGTTGTGTCTTTCCAAAATCCACAAGAATTTCTTGGCAAGAGATTCACTCATTCCAAGCAGATCCTTCAACGCATTAAGTCAAATGATTAAGATAAAAGGCATTTTCTGCTAAAGCAGTTTTGCATTGCATTGCGGTCTAGATTCCCTACAAACATCTTTTGTTCATGCTGCCAAATATGGCGTTGTTTGTACAGAAGCTAGACCAYAATGCACCATGATTTCATATTTCAGAAAAGGTCTGTGTGGTCCTGTGTCGACAATCAAAAWGATTCGGATACGCAGCCTTACTTACCAATGCATACGGTCCCGCGCATGCGCATCCCCCTCTAGCTTGTATCCCGTACAAGTCATTGAGGAGCGTCGAGACAAAGTTGTGATGGAGAAGCTTGCCGCTGTCATGGTGATAGACGAGGAACGAGAAGATTGGCAGTCGGCGGGCTTTTTCACTTCCTAATATGGTAAGATTTGTGTTCTTCTTCCAGACATTRAAAGCTTTCCTTAAAATAAGAGTTAGAATCGGTTATTAGGTATTATAAGAATGGAATGATGATCGGGCATTCTTTGGTACCATTCGTGATATCAAGAGAAAAAACACAAAATACCAAAAAATCTAAATTTATGGTTTCAAATGACGTCACAGAGGCCATTTTAGGGTTACGTCGACAAATTAAAAGATTTCTTACACTTATTCTTAATCTTCAGTAGTTTGACTTTAGTTCCAGGCCAAAATACTTGAAATTGATAACTTACTGGCAAAGCTCTTCTTCTCTCTCCTCGATGAGTTTACTCCCAACACTCTGCAAGAAAAATATACATTAACATAGTGCGAAATCATTGGGTTTAACACTCATATCTGTTTTGGTGCAGTGCAACATGGCACTGATGAAAGTATCAACATGGAATGTGCTCCTGATGTCGGCTATCTTTAAAACAAAAGCTCGACGAAGTTTCTTCGATAATTGATGACCCACGTTGATAATCATCACGATAAACATCTAATACGATGTAATTGCACTAGTGTTTACTAAAAGCCAAGACTTGTTGTTCTCAAAAGAGTCTGCCACATGTCTAGAGTTTGTACTTTCATCAATCCCATGGTGCACCCCGCCGAAAACAGCATGACGTCATAGCGCCATTTTAATATGTACAATTATACAAAACCTGTTTGATTTGAAACACCATTCCTGCTCTTATCGACTCGACAATCGCTGGAGTGCCTCCCTCTTCCCTCGCCTCGATGTCTTTGAGATACAAATGCGTGTCGCGCGTAACCTGACAAAAAAGAGCAGACTTCATCAGTTATTACGAAAAAAATATTGGATTTATTTGAAGGCTTGCTCTAAACATTTACTTACAAAGAGAACTGTCCCTCCTCCGCAACCACCAGGCACAGGATTCTTGAAAACATGCTTCTTGGCGATGAAAAGTCCTGCCACGAAAATAGTTCATAGATACTATTGGCAAAATGACCAAGAAGCCCTCGCAAGCCAAAAATACACTTAGAAAACGAACAGCGACAAATTGTAAGTTTTTATTCACAACTTTCCATACTTAGGTTCATTGACCACGAACAAAGTATTGAACCGAGGCGTCAAGGAACACTGAGCGCAGATCTTTTCTTTTATGCTCACTGTACCTTGACGCCTCGGTCCAATGCTTTCATATTCACTGGACCTAGGTATGAAAAGTCGTGAAAGTAGTGAATACCTGGAGTTCCTGGACCACCAACAAACTTATGTGGAGAAAGAAACACTGCATCCTTATACCTAAATTTGAACCATAGTTAGTAGAGGAAGACTACAACGCGAATCACAAAGCCGCGACTGGACAGAAGTATTTCAGGAATGTGTACTTGGGAAGAAAATAGCATAAAAAAAACATAGAAAACTTTGAATTTATTTATTGTACTATACCATTTGCGAACACACATTCGACCAAGACGAGGGTCAAATGCTTTTCGTGTTTTCTCGCTTTTTTTAACTACAATTAACATACCCATTTTCAGTTGGGTTCATATCTATTTCAAGATAAGGTCCCGCTGTGGCATAGTCCCAAAAGGACAGCGCTCCATATTTATGACAGAGTTCTGCAACAGCTACGGTATCTGTTAGGATGCCTGTAACATTAGATGCAGCAGAGAARGCAGCATACATGACAAAACCTGCATCTTTGTATTTCTAGGAAAATAATATCAAGATAACAATAAAATGAAACTTGATAAACCTGTGATAAACATAGGTTTATATAACTATTTCAAAAAAGTTTGTCGGATAAAATGGCGAATAGCTATTGTTAAACGGCGATTGCACGACCGAAAGGAGCCATGGGTTTTGTTAATGGATGAGATTTAATAATAACTCATTTTTACCGTAAGATATTCTATGGGCATCATTGGCTCCATTTAGTCTTCGTTTCCACGCAAGTAAACCAACAAACAATTTAATTTTTTGTATGTCAAACAGAGTAACCATATTCCCTTTCGGTCGTGCATTCTCCCTTCGACAATCGGCGTTTTTTAAATAAGTGTATACCTTCAATGAATTTTCCAGCATTGCCATATCAACTGTTCCCATCTCATTGTCCTTTATTCTTTCAACCTATCAATCAAAAGCATTTGAATAACTTCTTTGGTCCTGCCTTTTACAAGTCCAGCTAAACATACATGTAAAGTCCGTGTCCGATGCACACTGCATAATCTCACTGCAATAAGCCCCAGTACGTAGCTAAACTTACAAACACTGAGCGAATATAATTTTGAGTGCTGCTTGCTTCCATACGCGCGCGCGTATAGAACGGATTTCGTATGAGTGGGACACCGTTACCGCACGGTTACCGCACACTTACCGCACCTGGCCTGCAGAATTTTGGTGAAACAATGGGGCACTAGAATTTGGCTACAGTAAGATTACGGACACAGTACAGTACCGTCCGTTTCCCACTCATACGAAATCCGCTCTATAGCTCGATTTATAGTTCTCCTTTCGTACTAGTTGGATTTCATATTTCACCGCGCACCTGATCTGAATAGATGAATACTCCAGTTTCGAGATCTTATTTGAGCAGCCTTAACCTCGAAAGCATGTAATATATTCTTTTATTTAGCAGAGATCCTATTGTAATGCAAACACTGTATACAAAGAAGACGATAAAAATTCATGCTTGATTGAAGCTAACCTTGCACAAAAGAGAATTCGAAACTGTATTTCGGACATGGGTGGTCGCATGCTTGAAAACAAGGTATTCTCAGATTTCATCGAAACACTGCTCGAAAATACCTTGCATTCATCCACGCGGCTGAGATATTTTTGAAAGCAACAGCGCATCTCGAAAGTCRTCTWCTTGAGTCGYCAYTCWTGCATKTTTAGCACGYGCATCGTGTGTTGACTTTGCTAGCTAGTGTTCTARTTTAATACTATGTGGGACRAASTACAGTTTTACGTWARRAA